CCAATATCCCTTGCAGTATGTTTGAGTACTTGACTTGTTACATATTTATAGGCGTTCAGGAGATATGAACTACCGAATGGGGGGAGCTTTTGTTACTTGAAAGCAGTTGGATCAATAGTGGTCAGATAACATCCCCCAGCGATACGGTCTAATAATTCTACCCTGGGCATAGGGTAGACGTTGGTGACCGTCTCGTCATTAAGTCACCTGTAGTCCACGCAAAAATGGGTCGTGCCATCCTATTTTGGTACCAGGACTACAGGTGAGGCCCAATGACTCTCAGAGTGTTCAATGACCCCTAAGAGGAGCATTTCAGCGGTTTCTTTCCGCATGCCTTCCCATACTCCCTCAGGGATGTGGTATGGGGGTTGTCTCAAGGGGACCTGGCCCGTGGTGTCTACTTTGTGAGTAGCTACAGTAGTGTATCCTGGCTCCTGTGAGAAGGTTGCCTGTTTGGCTTGCAACAAGTGGATTGCTTGGGCCCAATCCTGTGCTCCCAGTCGTACCCCGATGGGCTCTGTATCTTTAGGGGCCCGGTCAACGCTGTGGCCATGTAATAGCACGACTGGGCCCCTTTAAAAAAAAAAAAAAAAAAGCCACAGCAAGTGATGTTAGGAGGAAGTGGTCACTTCCTCCCAGCTCACTCCGCGCGGGAGGACTGCCAGCCAGGCCGTGAAGAGGGACACCCGCACCGAATCCTATAATCCCCAGCCACCCTCCTGAAAAGAAAAGGTAAGAGACAGGAGGGTGTGTGTGTGTCTCTATGAATGTATGTCTGTACCTATGTATGTATGCCAGTATCAATGTATGTCTGTATGAATTTATGTATGTCTGCATGAATGTATGTATGTCATTATGTATGCATGTATGTATGTATTTATGCCAGTATCAATGTATGTTTGTATGAATGTATGTCATTATGTATGTATGCCAGTATCAATGTATGTCTGTATGAATGTCTGTATGTTAGTATGAATGTCTGTATGTATGTCTTTATGAATGCATGTATGTCTGTCTGTATGTATCAATACGTTCTACTGCTAATACCTCTCCCTATACAACCAAGCATTCTTCTAGCATTTCCTGCTGCTCTATTACATTGTCTGCATACCTTTAAGTCATCAGAAATAATCACACCTAAATCCCTTTCTTCAGATGTTGAGGTTAGGACTCTATCAAATATTCTGTACTCTGCCCTTGGGTTTTTACGTCCAAGATGCATTATCTTGCACTTATCCACATTAAATGTCAGTTGCCACAACTCTGACCATTTTTCTAGTTTACCTAAATCATTTGCTATTTGGCTAATCCCTCCTGGAACATCAACCCTGTTACATATGTTAGTATCATCAGCAAAAAGACATACCTTACCATCAAGACCTTCTGCAATATCACTAATAAAAATATTAAAGAGAATGGGTCCAAGTACAGATACCTGAGTTACCCCACTGGTGACAAGCCCAAACTTTGAATATACTCCATTGACTACAACCCTCTGCTGCCTGTCACTCAGCCACTGCCTTACCCATTCAACAATATTGGAATCCAAACTTAAAGATTGCAATTTATTGATAAGCCTTCTATGTGCAACAGTGTCAAAAGCCTTACTGAAATCTAGGTAAGCAATGTCTACTGCACCACCCTGATCTATTATTTTAGTTACCCAATCAAAAAAATCAATAAGATTAGTTTGGCATGCTCTCCCTGAAGTAAACCCATGTTGTCTCTGATCTTGAAATTCATGTGTTTTTAGATGTTCAACAATCCTATCCTTTAACATGGTTTCCATTACATTTCCCACTACTGAAGTAAGGCTTACTGGCCTATAGTTGCCCGACTCATCCCTACTACCTTTCTTGTGAATGGGCACAACATTCGCTAACTTCCAATCTCCTGGGACTACTCCTGTTAACAATGATTGGTTAAATAAATCTGTTAATGGTTTTGCTAGTACACCAC